AGGAACAGAAGCGCACAGACGCAAAGAGTCGCCGATCCCCGGGAACATCTGGAAAACATGGGAAGTGGAGGGGAAGACGAACATCCAGAAAATATGGAACCTGTGGGGGATCCTGGGATTTGCGTGCATTTCTTTGTGGGTCCCAGGGCCCCGTCATTGCGCTCCGCTCTCCGCTCCGCCGGCTGCGAGGAGGCCCCGCGCCCCGCCCAGCCGCCGCGTGCGGGGGCGACGCCGGGGCGCGTACGGGAAGGGGGGCCGGGCCGGGGCTCGTTGCCACAGCAGCGCGTGGTGGCACGTGCTTTGCAGTGGGCAGCGGCAGGCGCGCCTGCACGCCTGCGCTCCGAGGAGGGAGAGGTGCAGGCGCCGCTGCCCGCTGCCTCGTGCGCGCCTTTCCCCTGGGCCGCCCAGGAGGCCCTCGGCGCCACCGCCGGACGCGCCTCGGAGTTCTGGGCAGAACGCACCCCGCGAGGGGCGCACGCCTTCTGCAATGGGCAGCTGTAGGTTCTGGGGCGGCGGGATCGATACACAGCCGCTGCACCAGGCCCGGCCCACCCTGGGCCTGGGAGTTGTGCATGCGACCTCCTGGCTTGGCCAGGGAGGCGTATAATTCGAGCAGTGGCGAAGCGTCCTGGCTGGCCAGTTGGCCCACCAAAGGGTGTGCTAAGAACCTTTCTCGCGACGTGTTCTTGGAACATGTCTGGCTGAGACTGCTTTGTGTTAGCACATTGCCTGTATGTCCTTACAACATTGTTGTTTGCTTTAGGGCATTCGTTTGTTCCAAGAACCGTTCGTGGTATGCCTATAGAAATGCCGCGACCGTCGGTCCGTGCTCAGATATACGTCGCTCCTGTGCCCAGGATGCGCCAGGCCCGGGGCACTTGATCTGTGTAGATCCTGCCGCCCTAGCTTCGGCGGCGAAATCCGAACCCTACCCTCGCCGATCAACGTCTCGGGCAACTCGATGGGTGGCCGGAGTAGGGTGCGGAATTCGTCGAGCACGTGGGGCAATCCGAACCCTACCCCCGCCTCCCATCGACAGCAGAATCGATGCTTGGTGGGGGTAGGGTTCGGATGTCGCCACCAACTGCAGGTTCGCATGCATGCATGCACGTATCTATTGCGTGAATTTGTTGAGCGGACCGTAGCTACCGAGGCTCGACATCTCGAAGTCACTAGACACGTCCTGGAGCCAGGCTCAAAAGTTGCGCAATCACAGCGTGAGAGGAGGGAGGAAGGAGAGAGGAAGTGGGAGGGAGGAGGGAGAAGAAATGAGTAGAAGAACGACGACGAAGAGGAGGAGAAGCAGGAGGAGGAGGAGGAGGATGAGGAGGAGAGACGAGAGGAAGAGTCTCATCTCGCTTTTCGGCCTCCTGGTTCCCCCCTCCCCCTCCAAGGGGTTCGGGAGTATTTTTTGTGTCTCCAGAGGCTTCCAAGGAATGGAGGCCCCCAAGGCATCCTATGAATTTCTCAAAGATTTGTTCAGAGTTCCGTTGGAATCCTTCCAATGGAATTCTTAAGGAAGCCAACGGGTTTCTTCCGGAAGCTGAGGGCTTCCTACGGAGCCCGGAGGCCCGAGGGATCTCTTAATGAACAAGGGTGATGTCACAAGGTTGTCTTTAGGAATGCGAGGAATTCCCCGAGAAGTCCAAACGTTCCGCCATGTATTCCCAAACATTCCCGAATGCATCGCGTAGGATCCCATAAGGATCTCAGAGACACTCCGAAGGAAATCTTCAGACATCTAGAAGAATCCAAGCAACTAAATCTGCAGAATACTCGGTGAATGGCTGGATTATTTTTGAAACATGATTGGGAGGGCATCCGTAAGAGGTGAAGTCTTTGGGTTTCCATTGGAAACACTTCGGGCTCCCCGGGATCCCCCAGAATACGCGCAATGAGTAGATGACGATGATTTCTAGAACATTGCGCTCAATACTCACGCGGCACGCGTGCCAAAGCTCTGGCACGAAGGGGAAAAGTGGGTCAGCACGGGGGTCCGTGGCTGCGGGTGGAGCAGGGCTGCGGTGCTGCGCCGTGCCCGGCAACCGCTGAATGCGTCGGAGCGGAAGGGTGCGCGGGCTGCCAGGGAAAATGCGCGGAGCTGGCGCGGGGGCAACCAGGGGAGGAGGAGGAGGAGGAGGAGGAGGAGGAGGAGGAGGAGGAGGAGGCTCCTTGGAAGAATTGCGCATTTTGACATTGACGCGTGATCTCAGATTCGCTCTCGTACACACCTGCGCAAACGAGCGAGCGCACTGCGCGCGCGTCGTTAGGCGCCGTCGGATGCTGCTTGAAACAATATACCGTATAAGACATCGACTCGCGCGGAGAAGTTGCGCTCGCACGGACATTGCTGTGTGCCCTCACCGCGCGCCTCTTGGATGCCCCAGAATTGTGCGGAGTTTCCCGGCACGGAGGCCGCGGAAATTTTTGTTTTAAAATGCGCGCGGCGCGCTTGTTGGCAACAGCCACACACGCAACACACACGCACGCACGCACGCACGCACGCACGCACGCACGCACGCACGCACGCACGCACGCACGCACGCACGCACACACACACACACACACACACGCACACACACACACACACACACACACACACACACACACACACACACACACACACACACACACACACACACACACACACACACACACACACACACACACACACACACACACACACACACACACACACACAAGCACACACACACACACACACACGCGTGTTGGCGGCTCGCGCGGATTGTATGTGTCGCGCGCTGATTTCTCGAAATCTCCAAATTTGCCTGGCGAAAGACCCAGCCATCTGCAGCTGCGAGCATCGCGAGGCAGGTAAAAGGGAGGAGGGGGCCTGACTGGGGCGTGGGTGGCGATAAAAACGGACATGGGCGAGCGGAGGACTTTCTTAGTTTGGCGACGGCATCGCCAAGGAACTTACCTGAGGAACGGCCCGCCCGAGTCTCGCCTTTTCTCCACTGCCCAATTGTATGGCCCCGCGCCGCGGACGACCCGCGCGCGGTGCTGGAATCCTTCCGGGCACGCAACGCACGTCGTGGGGACTCCCCTGCGCTCTGCCTCCAAGTGCTGCCCGACACCCGCGCGCTCTGCCTGGCGCCTCGCCCCTCGCCCGCCACCCGATGCTTCTGACCCCGCGCCGCGGACACTCCGCGCCTCGGACACCCCGCGCGCGTCGCTCGAACTCCTTCGGGCCGACAGGCTCGCGACGCGGGGCGTTTGCGGCGTGTGCCGAGTGGTATACCATGCGGACTCTGCCGATGGGGCCTTCGGTGGAGCTCCCAACGGGGCCACCCAACGTGTGAGGGGGGCGCCGAATGTGGCGCGGGTGCGCCATGCGGACCCTGCCGTTGCAGCGTTCGGTGGAGCTCTTGGGCGCCGATCGGGCGCGGGCACGCCACTGCGGACCCTGCCGCTGGGGACTTCGGTGGACTTCCCCATGGGACCACGAAACGTGAGAGTGTTGTGCCGCATCACGTGCGGTTGCGCCATGCGGACCTTGCCGATGGGGCCTTCAGTGGGGCTCCCTATGGGGCCATGAAACGTGTGAGGGGGGCGCCACATCGGGTGCGGGTGCGCCATGCGGACCCTGCCGCTGGGGCCTCCGGTGGAGTTCCCTGCGGGGCAAAGAATCGTGTGAGGGGTGTGCCGAATCGGGCGCGGGTGCGCCGTGCGGACCCTGCCGCTTCAATTTTTCGGTGGAACTCCCTATGGGGCCACGAACCGTGTGTGGGGTGTGCCGAGTCGGGTGTGGGTACACAATGCGGGCCTTGTTGGTGGGGCTTTCGGCGGAGCTCCCTATGGGGCTACGGAGCGAGGTATGGGTGTGTCATAGCACGGGCATGCGGAGGGCAAGGGTGAAGAGGGGAGGGGGAGGAGGGGGAGGAGGAAGGAGGAACGCGGGGCGCTGTATTTTCAAAACGAGGACCCAACACCACAATATGGTTGGGACAAACATCCACACACACACATACATGTGGATATACACATGCTCCAGAATTATGCATTTTTTTTTATTGGCGCTGCACTAAATTTACAGACATCGACTCAAAGTTTCGAACACAACCATCATAATCTTGGTTTAACGCGCGAACGAATAACGGGCACTCTGGTGCGACAGTCCACGCGATTTCGGCGCACCCCTCACACAGTTCGTGTCCCCAGAGGGAGCTCCACCTAATGCCACCGCGCCAGGGCCCGCATGCTTTCTCCATACGAATTCGGAGCGCCCTTGAGACGGTTCGTGGCCCCAGAGTGAGCTCCACCTGAGGTCCCAGAGCCAGGGCCCACCTTCTCCCAAACATGTCGGCGCACCCCTTACACGGTTCGTGGCCCCAGAGGGAGCTTCACACAAGGCCCCAATGCCAGGACCAGGATTTTTGATTCTATACTGTTCTGGCTCACCACTCAGACGGTTCGTCGCCCCAGGGGGAGCTCCACCTAAGGCCCCAGTGCCAGGGCCCGCATGCCTTCCCCATGCGATTTCAGCGCACTCCTCAGACGGTTCGTGGCCCCAGAGTGAGCTCCACCAAAGGCCCCAGCGCTAGAGCTACACCAGTGTGGCACACCACTCACATTTTTCGTGGCCCCATACGAGGCTCCACCGAAGACGATACTTACAACTACAGTACTCACGGTTGCAGACGGTTGGGTCCCTCGCCAGGCTAAGGGTCGGACAGTCCCAGGGCTGGGTGAGGGCCCATGAGGCCGAAAACAGCGAACCCCAATCCCTATTGATTTTGTTTAGTGCGTTCGATGTCTTATTTTCGGATCATTACTCGGGCCTCCGGCGACCGTTCCGGATGATTCGGGCGCCCTTGGGAATGCTCCCGACGAGCCGCAGTTGCTGGAAAACATCCAGACAGCGACAAATCCCCCTAAGAACCGGCGGGCGCGTCGGAAAGCCTCAGAGACTTTGCAAGAACGAGAAGCCTTAGTCTTGATCTGCTGAAGACCTTGGACGTTGGGTCCCCTCCCCTGAGGACTGCGAGGACGGCCTGGACGCAGCCGTGTGCCTGCTGCAGCACCTCGGCAGCGAGCCGCCTGCCAGCGGTGCGCGCGCTGCTAATCGCTCTGGCCTGGGCCGCCTTGGTTGCCAACAGTCCCCCACCAGCGCTAAATCGGGCCTGTCCCTCTACAGGGGGGATATTCAAAAATAATGTAAAATAGTACGGGAACGATTTTTTGCTAGTCTTACCCATGTTTGAATATTTGTTGCATATTTCGTTTTCGCCCAAAATCTGCCTGTAGGGGGACAGGCCCGACCTAACACCAGCGACGAGAGCCCAGGGATCGAGGATCGAGGTCTTCGGGCGTTCCTGGCCGTTGCTGGGCCTTCTCGTCGCCGCGGCTCGACCCGCCTCGAGATGCTGGTCAGGGTGATGTTCTCCCCCCGATGCCAGGCTTCAGGAAGATGGTGTTTGTTTCAATCGCGAGCTTGTTCCCTCATTTCTGCTAGTTGAGAGCTATTTTCGGCCCCGAGGTTAGCAAGCATGTAAGCTTAGACGTAGATGCATATATATATATATATATATGTATACATATATACATGTAGATGTGCGTATGTATGTATGTATGCATTCATGCAGGCCTGCATGTATGTATGCATGCATGCATGTAGGTGTGTATATATATACATACATACATCTGCGTGTGGATTTGCGTCTGTATGTGTGTATGTATGCATGTATGTATGTATGTATGCATGTGTGCATGCATGTCTGTCTGTATGTATGCATGTCTGTCTGTCCGTCTGTCTGTCTGGCTGTGTGTATGCATGTGCTTGCGTGCGTGCACACATGCATATGACCAGGTATGTGTGTCTGCCTGTCTGTCTGCCAGTCTGCCTATATGTCGGTATGTCTGTCTGTCTGTCTGTCTGTATGTATGTATGTATGCATGCATGGATGGATGTATGTATGCATGTATGTATGTATGTACGTGTGTATGTAGGTATGTAGGTTTGTATGCATGCATGCATGTAAATATGTATGTATGTGTGTATGCACGTACGTACGGGCGTATGCATGCATGTATGTATGCATGCATGCACGAATGTATGTGTACATGGATGTGTCTATGTTTGTATAGATATGTACGTACGTATGTACGTTTGCATGAGTATGCGTACGCATGCATGTATGTATGGATGCATTCATGTATGTATGTTTGTATGCATGAATGTGTATTTGTATGTGTGTATCTATGTGTGCATGCATGCATGCATGTATGATTGCATATATGCCTGAATGAATGTATGCATGCATGCATGCATGCATGCATGTACGTATATACGTATGAATGTCCCCGACTTCGGCTTCCAGGAGAATAGTTCGGGCCTCGGAATTGACGAGCATCGATCCAGCATGGAACAAATACAGGGATGGAGAACCCTTGCCCGGGGGCAGAGTTAGCATGGATTTGCTAGATGAGGTTAGAGATGGGGGAGGAAGAGGATGAGGAGGAGCAAGGAGGGAGGACGTGGAGGGGGAGCAGCAGAAGGAGGAGAAGGAGTTTGAGGAGGGTGCCAATGAGGAGGGCAAGGGGCAGGAGGCGGATATAGAGCAGGGAGGAGGAGGAGGAGGAAGAAGAGGAGGAGGAGGAGGAAGAGGATCAGCAGGAGCATTGGGACGAGCAGGAGGAGGCGGAGGGGAAGGTCTCAAGCTAGGTGCGCTAGCGTCACATCTGACGTCACATCCCTCCCTCCCATCCCTTACCACGGCGTAGAAGGGCAATGATCCCAAGAGGGTGCGCGATGGATGGAAAAGCATGACGTAGAAGAGCACGGCAGAGCATAGCATGTCATAGCATGGCGTTTCAATGCGTAGTGGAGAATTCCATCACAAAGCATAGCAGCGCAAAGCATGGCATCGCACAGCGGTGCACAACACAGCATCGCATTGCATGCCGTGGCATGGTACCGGATGACTTGGATGGTGGGTGGCACGTCTGCGAGAGGACAGGGACTATCTGGAATGCTGTCTCCATGTCCCCCACAACGGTGCCTGCCCGATGTGGGCGCTTTCGAATGCCAAGTGGCGTCCGGAGGCGCAGGAACGAGGCCAGCGCTGCAGCGGGAGCACGATTTTGAATGACCGAAGCGCGGAAATGACGGCGGCTCTGCAGCGGGAGCATCATGTTGGAAGAACCAGAAACGTCCAGATTGAAGAAACACATAGGAAAAGAGGACGGGACATTTTCCGGATACGCGGAGAGGATGGGACCCCCCCGGACAGAGTCAGGGGAGAGAGGAGAGTAGCATTCATATTGTGTAAGTATTGAGGAGGATGGAGGAGGAAGAGCAAGAGGGGAGGGGAGCTGGAGGAGCAGGTGGGGAAGACGGGGAGGAGGAGCTTCGATCGGGGAAGAGGAAAGGGAAGTATAGATGGAAGAGGAGGAGGAGGATGAGGCGAAGGAGGGGATGGACGAGAAGGAGGAGACAGGGAGTAGAGTCGTGAGGGATGTGTGTGGTTGTGCCTGTCTGTATTGCATGTCGCGTGCTGGCCGTTGCTGCAACTCCACGGAGGAGGGAACCGTGCAGTTGTTTGCTTCGCGTTGTGTGGAGTTGCATGAGCCTTGGGGCACTCCAATCCGTGCCAGAGGCACGGTGGCGGACATTGCGACTGTGTTGTCACATCGCCAGCGGAGTAATAAGTATATGTGTGTGTGTGTTGCGAGGGCTGTTCGCTGCGTGTTGTGCGTTCTGTGTTGTGGGTTGCGGTTTGCGAGTGCGCGTATGTGTGTGCGTGCCCGCGCGTATTCCTCGCATCTTTTTGTCATCATTGTCCGCCTGTACCTTGCCCGCTACCCCGCTCGTCGTTGCTGTTCCTCCCTCTGGTTTGGCTGATTGCCATGCGCCTCCCATTTTTCGGTGGCGGGCTCTTCGGGCGACCGCAGTTTTGAGTCTTCCGAATACAGCGCCCGCGCTGCCTTGACAAAGTGCGCATGCCGAGTGAGTGAATGCATGAATGTGTATTGTCGGTGCGCGCGTGTGTTTGTCATGCACGCGTGAGTGAATGCATGTATGTGTGCGCTGCTGTGGACTGTCGGTGCGCGCGTGTGTACGCGTGTGTTGTGTGTATGCTGAGCGTGCCCCGCCTTAGCCCTCGCTGCAGTGACGTCACCTGGCCGCTCGATCAAGTTGTGTGTTGTGTGTCGGTGCGGGTGTACGGGTGTTTTCGTCTCCCAGGCAAGCTTCCGGCGGCCACTTCCGTGCCCGCGCCGTCCTTGCACACCTCGCCGGAGCAGCCCGGCGAGTCAACTCGTTCGAACAGTTCGGACGTGCTGGCTTTGTTCAGCACGTTGCGGCAGAAGGCTCGCAGACAGGGAGAAGGGGGGAGGGAGAACGACAGAGTGGGCGCAGTGGGGGGAGGGGGTGACTGCGCGGGGGCAAAGGGAAGAGGATGATGCTGATGAGGATGAGGATGAGGATGCTGATGGTGACGATGATGGTGATGATGATCATGATGATGCTGATGCTGATACTGATGCTGATGTTGATGCTGATGATGATGGTGCTGATGCTGATACTGATGCTGATGCTGATGCTGATAAGGAGGAGGAGGAGGAGGAAGTAGATATGGAGCAGTAACATCAGCAGCAGGAGCGGGAGCAGTTCACCCACCAGCGCCCGCGCGCGGAGTGCTCGAGCGGGCCGTGGGTGCCAGACGTTACTGTCGATGACCTGGGGATTTCGAGTGGTCCCAAGAGCACCCAGAGAGGCTCCTGGAAGCCCCCAAGAGGCCCGACGCCCCTCAGACACTCCCAGTCGAGCCCCCACTGGCCCCTCAGTGGCCTGCAAGTGACCCCCAAACATACCCCCAGGACGGCCCATGAGGGCCTCAAGAAAGCTCCAGAGGGGCCCCCAGAAAGGCCCCCCAGATGCCTCTTCTCCACCTCCTCCTCCTCCTCCTCCTCCTCCTCCTCCTCCTCCTCCTCCTCCTCATGCGAGCGCTTGTCTTCTCAAATGCATGGGTTCGCCTGGCCCTGAAGCCTCGGCGATGGACATCTCGCTGCAACGGGTGTCGTGGGCCCGTATGATTAAGATAACTCCTGCCGCTGCAGGGGACTTAGAGTCGCAATGTTCGGAGGCGTCTTCGTGACGATGCAGTGAAGTTTCATAGTTATTGCAAACTTTGGCTATCTGCGGCTTCGTGCTGACGTCGCTTTTAGTATGACATCTCATGAGTTGTGATGGCGTCACCGTGTAGAGACAAGTCCGTTAAGTTGGATACGTGTTTCGCGCCATGCTTTAAACTTTAGAACTGGCGTTCAGTTGCTGTCTGTTCAGCAGTCACGCAATAAGTAGCGTTCCACGGAAGTGAAGTGCATGGTGCTACCGGTTTGGCCGCCAACACATAGTTTGGGGCGCGAGCCCCTTTTGGCTGGAGGCCGTCCACCGACGTCTCGCTGCTACCTCTCCTTCTATCTTCTGACCCCTTCGTCGCTCCTCCCATCATCCTTGCTCCCTATCCCCGTGCCCTGCTACCCCCAGCCGTCACGTTTCCCTACCATCTTCATCTTCTCGCCGTTGCGTCCGCACTCGAATCTCCCCCTCTCGCCCTTCGCCTCTCTCGTTTTGCCATGTATGCTCATTCCTCCAGGGTTCTCGTCCTCCGTGGATCATTTTCTCTCCTGCACATTATCC